TTTTTTTTTTTTTTTTTTTTTTTTTTTTTTAAATTTAATGAACAACTACGCTTCGTTGAAGTTTATTCCAATATACCTGGCAATACCTATCCTTGCATCTACAAACAGGGGGCCTGGCCATATCCAAAGCAACTGAGTACGGACACTGATTCCTAACCGCTACCTTCTTCCCCCGAATACCCCCCAAATACAGCGCACGGTCATCATGGCTGTGTTTGGGGCATCTTCCAGTCTAAATACAGCTATAATGACCATGCGTTGTATTCGGGGGAAGAAGGCAGCCAGGGATGAAAGAGACGAAGGCAAAGCCCCTATAAGACAGACCAGGGGAGGCAAGCCAACTGTCTCAGCTGCTGAACCCGAAGCGCCCCACTGAGGCCGTGGGGATTTGAGGAGGACGTGGGGAATCAAACCCACGACCTCCTGAATGCCACTTGCGTGCTCTACCAACTGAGCTGCGCCGCTTCTTTTTTTTTTTTCCCTTTTTTTATTTCCCCCTTTTTTTTTTCAATTTTGCGTAAACAAAAAGAAGAATGGTGCGCTGGTGCTTCGCCAAATTTTGACGCCAGCCAAAACAAAATGAAGAGTGCTTCCCAAAAAAAAAAAAAAAAAAAAAAAAAAAAAAAGAGAATGCTCCACTGGAGCTTCGGCACATTTTGGCGCACAGGGGTCGAGTCGGTTCTACGAAACAGCCCCAGGTGTACTCGTGGTTTTAAGTCTGAAGTTTGAAGTTTAAACCATTCTGTCCAACAACAATGGACAGTGCTGGTTTGAAGTTTGAAGTTTGAACCATCCTGCCCAACAATAGACAGCGGTGGTTTAAACTCTAAACCATTCTGTACACCACTGCACAACGGTTAAGGGTTTAAACTTTAAAGGTTTTTTTTTTTTTTAAGGTTTAAACTTTAGAACCACCACTACCCTGCCCTCAAAAAAAAAAAAAAGAAAGAAAAAAAAGAAAAAAAGAAAAAGAGAATGCGACACAAGACTACGAATACGATCATTACGAAAGCATGCGACACAGAAAAGAAGGGTAAATTTGGAGACTACCTTGCCCGTATTAAACGACCAGTGCATCTGGAGAATTCGAATGAGCCTCTCCAAAAAGTTAGGGGACGGAGGACACGTCCAACCTGGGGGCGGGCATAATTTTTTTTTTTTTGGTTCAGTGCTCGGCCTCGCACCACCGCACCGCATGGGACAACTTTGTTTTCTACTGGCTCTTTGGACGCCCTGTCTCCAGCCTGTGCCAGAACGTGAGTATTTTGTATCCATTGAGCGAATATTGGTTGTAATTGAATAGCTGTATCGGAAAACATATCTTGTGGACGGCCTACAGCACGCATAGTATCATTATGTATATATAAACCAAAACTATGAAAACCTAAAAAGATACAAGCCCAATTTAAGTGAGATATAACAGCATCTCTGTGGCGAAATTTTAGGACAGGCTCAATCGGATTTTCATCTTGGCTGGGCTCATGTACAGGTGGTTTAAAATTGACAGTGCAAGACAAGAGGAAAGATACGAAAAACATGTGACCCAAAAAAAGGAATGATAAAACAAAAGACGTCAGTTGACTCAGAGTAATCCCTCTCTGCGCATGTGTACGTGTGTGTGTGTGTGTGTGTGTGTGTGTGTGTGTGTTCTTCTGCTGTGTGTGTGTGTGTGTGTGTGTGTGTGTGTGTGTGTGTGTGTGTGTGTGTTCTTCTGCTCATAACTTCACATGCCATTGGCCGTTCAGGTGGTTTCAGCAGAGAAAATGTGTCCGATGTGCCAGCATCCTTTGATACCAGCAGATGTCCAAAAGATTGACGACCCATCGCCAATTCTCAAGCGCATGACCGGCTCAGCACCTCCTCCTCCCACGGAAAAGATTTCAAATGAGGCGGTACTGAAACAATGAAAAACCTTGTTGTGGAAGCACCGAGCGCAAACCAAAGCCGAGCCGCTGCAGAATGGTTTCAAAAAATGAAGACATTGTTGTTGCTTTTCAGGTGGATCCGGCCAGAGTGTATGCCCCTCCAATTCGTCAGTCCGGTAACAGCAAAGGCGCAAAAGCAGAGAGTGTGCCCAACTCGCCCGCTATCCCTTCAGCACCAGCAAAGGAGCAAAAGCTTGGTGATTCAAGCATTGGGCCTTGCTCCACTACTCCCCCCGACATGCAGAAAAGACAAAAAAATATGGCAATGTATCTTTCCAGGTTTTAGCGGAGAATTCAGTCTCATTTTGCATACTGCATATTTCGGGAGTGGTCGAGCGAGGCCCACTGTCAGTTCTCAAGGAGACAGATGGCCGGCTCAATCGATACCATATCTACTACGGAAAGGATTTCAAACCAGGATGGACTTACACAACGACAATGTCAGTGAAGTACTGAGCACGGACGAAAAGACACAGAAAGACGCAGAGCGAGAATTATTCACTCGTCCAGCGCAGATATCGTTCCCCGTGAAGTGGAAAGAGGGAGTACTTACATCACATGAAGATGGATGCTCAACGCTCACGCAAAGAGAGGACGCGATGACGGACGGGACCCGCGCTTTTTGCCGTTTGCTAGTGCACAACAGTAGTCGCACCTGGCATATGGCGCGCATTCGTGACCACGCATGCAGAGCGCAGTCTGGGTTCCTCCCGCGTGTGATTTACCACCTTGGGAGTGATTCCACTGAATTGTGTACAGATACAGAATAATATACAAAATTACAAATGCAATACTAATAGAGGTAAAAAGAGGCCATGATTGATCGGCTGTGCTAGTGGCAGTCCAGTATCTGTCTTCATAGTGCGGACTCTACCTTCAACTTGTTTTTGTTCCCAAGGCGCAATACTATACTAACGTAACACCACGCTTGGCTATACCGACCTAACACCGCGCCTGAGTCCTGACTGTGGGTAATGGTACCTGCAGCTTGGTATGGTTCATTTGTGACCAAGCACGAGGAGCGAGGGCCAGTTTCTGCTTTGGCCCGTATTGAATGGTCGCCCTGGAAGAGCTGATGTCTTTATATAATTTTGCCACTGAAATGTATATTACAGTATGAAATGTACGATATACTAATATACTACATCATTTGTGACCAAACATGAAGAGTGAGCCCACTGTGAGGGGGCGTGTTTTTTTTTTTTTTTTTTTTTTTTTTTTTTTTTTTTTTTTTNTTTTTTTTTTTCCCCAAACTGCTTCCATATGGATTCGAAGTCAGGTCTGTATTTCAAAAGTTCATTAGGTGTACCAACTGAGATAGGCCCATTGGTGAGAGGGCGAGTTTCTGCTTCGGCCCATATTGATTTAGCGCGCTGGTGAGAGATGATGAAAAAAAAAAAAGAAAAAAAAAAGAGATGATGATTGGATATAATTACCACTGAAATGTATATTATACTATTACGGTATGAAATGTATAACATTATTGATATTGTAATATAGTAGATCAACGCTGGGCCCGCTTTCCAGCAGGTGATGCTCCCCACCAATAGATGGAGCGGCCAACAGCAGGACTGCTACCAGGGGAGACTGCTCATTTCACCTACTCTAGCAGACCAACCTAGGCCTTCTCAGAAGAATAAAATAAAATAAAATAAAATAAAATAAAATAAAAAATCATTACATTCAAATGGTTGAAATGGATAGTTTTATGTTGGTTTCACCATAAAATGTCAAAGCGACAATGGTCAGTAACATTTTTTTTTTTGTTTTTGTTTTTTTTTAAAACAAAACTAACCATTCCATTATATGCTGGAAATCGGGTCCATCCACGATGACCTTTTCTGGGCGTGGCTGGAATGGGCTTGGTCGGGAGTGCCGCGCCCAGCCCAAACAACGGTGGCATAGATGTAAGAGGGATGTCGGATGCCACCGTCGTCGGGTCCGGCATCCCTGACATTTATGCCACCGTCGTTTGGTCTTGGGCGAGGCACTCCCGACCAAAAGCCCATTCCTTTTTTCTTTTTTTTTTTTTGGAAAGCTTCAATTTGTATTACAAAACCAGATGGAACGAGGCCGGGGACCTCACAATTCAACCCGGAGTTATCCTGGCAGCCTCAGCCAGTTTCGCTTACGAGCCCAGCTCGAACACCCACCCACTGCACATAATCTCACCATTCTACTGCTGGAAACCGGGTCCAACGTCCCATACTAACCTCTGAACCTTTCCAAATTAAACTTTGAAGCACAAGTAAAAAAAGGAGGACTGCATATGCAGTCCCGGATTGATGTACCATGAGACGATCAACAACTTTTAGCCCTGCGGGCACATCCATTGCAGGCCCATAGGCCCAGCCCGGCTGGCATCTTGGGAAAAGCCCATTCCAGCCACGCCCAGAAAAGGTCATCGTGGATGGTTCAACTTCCGAAAATCGTAACAAACTCTTTTTTTTCTTTTTTTTTTTTTTGTTAATGGGAACAAAGCTCCAATCTATTCGTGGGGAGCAACACGTGCTTGGAACCGGGCCCAGCATCCCATATACCCACCAAAGGAAGTCTTTGAATCACTAGCCGTATATCTATGATCTATCCCTTCTCACCTTCTTGCTAAAACCCCCCTTATTCTTTTTTTTTCTTTTTCTTTTTTTTCTAAGTGCATCTAACTTGATCCACAGGAGAAACCTGTTGCGAGTCTCTTCTGTGACCAAATCTCAAAGACTTCCTGCCATCGGACGGCACTTGCTGGTCACTTAGTCGCCTGGCCGACCCCGAGGACGAAGTGCTAACGGGGGATTAAAGTCATTCAAAGCAAGTCGAACCCGAATCATCCAACAGTGTGTTGAACAGGCCAATCCCAACTTGAGGTTCGAATTTCGAAGGTTCAAATTCGAAGTTCAAACTTGAGGTTCGAAGGTTCAAATTCAATGTTCAAACTTGACGTTCGAAGGTTCGAAGGTTCAAATTCATTATACTTGAGGTTCGGGATGATGATTTCCTGTGCCTGTGCCTGTGCCGTACTGGACTCTACTTAAAAATAACTTGTTTTTTTGGTTAAGCAAACTTAATTTCCCCATTAGCTGTCCTGGTTCTAGCTAATCGCAACTGCGTGGCAAAAATAACAAAGCTGACCACCATGGGTTTTGGGACAACCAGTGCGACAGGGGACCAAAACGGCTGGAGAGACCAGCCTAAGAGGGAAAAAGAAAATGCCCCCGTGGCGGTTCTTGCGCTTTTTGGCATGCAGTGGGGATTATTTTCTTCTTTTTTCCTTTTGGTTCGACCCCCGAAGCGTTTTGGTTCGGTAGCACTGTTCATCCGAAAACCGATGCCGATGGCGGTCAGCTTCGTCGCCAAAGTTTGCATCCATGGGAGAGGTACTGGTGGCTTAGAAGACGATCGAACCCTCAAAGTTGTACCCATGAAACTTCGAACTCATAAGCTGAGTTGGGTCGATCGTAAAACAACAAAGTTGGAACAAGCACTACCTCCGAGCCGCTTTGCAGAGGTGGAAAGGAACTGCATGGCAAGCTTTGCTGAAGCGGCGAGGTGACTTTTTTTTTTTTTTTTTTTTTGTATTCTGGCTGGCGCCCCGCGCCATTTTGGTCCAGTGGTGGCACCCATCCTCCGAAGAATGCAATGTACGCCACTGTATGGTATAATTGTGTTTTTTTCGAGTTTGCCGGTGAAAGGTAGTGTTACTAGTGGTGGTTTAGAAGTTAGAACCAAAAAACAACAACAACAACAACAACAACAACAACAACAACAACAACAAAGCCATACAGAGGACTACCTACAACAGGCTAACCTAGGCAGGGGTGAGAGGTGGTACATCCTTCCTTCTGGAAGTAATCAATGCCGTCCACTCGGGCCTCCCAGCCATAACGGGCCGGAGCGTGGAGTGAGTCAACTTTGTACTTTCCATTGACTTGCCGGGGGAATACGAACCGGACTGTTGCTCCCCAGAATGGTAGGTGCCAGAACCAAGGGCGTCGCACACGAAACGAAGAACGAAACGGCTGGCTGCATCTTCCGTCAGAAAATGGCCAGGTTCATCCGTTTGCTATAAATAGTAACGAGTGTATTTTGCCACCTTTCATGGGCAGATGCACTCGTTTCGTTTTCGGTTCATGTCCCGTGTGGCGAGGCCCCAAGTGGTTCTGAAACAACAACAACAACAACAACAACAACAACAACAACTGGCCACCACCACACTCTTGTGTGGGCCCAGCCTGGATCCAAGCTGTCACCTTTTGCAAAACCAGTACACGGCGCCAGCCTTGTGGAAAAATTTGTTCATTGCCTGCGCCGGAAATTTTGAGGCTCGGGCCTTCTGGACCACAATGGCTAGCGGCGCCAGCCACAAACGAAAAAAAAAAGTGCGCTGCTGACGGTTTGGCAAAGCTTGGTGTGCACCTGCAGCGCCTCCAGGCTCGGGTGTACTTACTGGTGGTTTAAAAGGTTGTACATATAAGCTGCTGCTAATGTCTTAGTACTCAGCTTCCCATTTTGACTTGACATCTCACATCTACTCATGAAAGATGAACCTGCACATGTCTGTGTGTCCACACTGGCTCCACCATCTCTTTTTTGTCGTTGTTTCTCGGCGCAAAGACATGTGCAACAACAAGCAAGGTCCTGCATAGTGCACACAATGAAACGTAAAAAAATTATTGAAAGATGGCACAAGTACGACATGTCGTGCACAATGAAACATCTTTCTTTAGGTCATGACGCGCACATAGAAAATTGCTAGCAAACACATATAACACACCCTCCTGTTGCTGGGCCTATTCGTGACAAGGCTGTGCCGAGCGTGCGCACATAAAAAAAGCCGGCATGCTGCTGCAGGTTGATTTTGATTCCACACACACACACACACACACACACACACACACACACACACACACACACACACACATGGCTGAGTGGCACACCCTCTCGTTGCCCGGCCTATTTGTGACACTGCCGTGCCAAGCACAAAAGCAACACGCTGCTGCAGCTTGATTCCACACACACACTTACATGGCTGAGGGCACACGGGCCTATTTATGACAATGCCATGCCAAGCACATGTATATAGGAGAATCCGGCAAAAGCAACACGCTGCAGGTTGATCCCACACGCACACTTGCATGGCTGAGTTGGTGTGTAGAGTGGGTTTTATGAATGTGACAGATTAGTTTCTCGGACTTACTTCCGTTCTTGTCAGGGGTTTGGACCAACACTCATCAAGGATTGCAGGGTTGGTGTGAGTAAAGTCAACCACTTTTCTCTCTCTCTCTCTCTCTCTCTCTCTCTGTGTGTCTGCCTCTCTCTCTCCCTTTTCTTTTTTTTTTTTTTTGAAAACCAGTCTTTTGCTAACTCTGGGCGATGTGGTGAAGTGGTTATCTATCAGGCAAATGCATCATCCTGGGAAGACTGTCTGTCCACAGGTTAAACCTCCTGATGAGTTGGTCGGTGAAAGACTGAAAGTCCAACGAAACAATCTGGCAAAGTCATGCTCTTCATGTCGAGCTGGGCATGGCAAACAGGACAACACACTACCGTAGAATTTATGAGGACAACCACTGCTCCTCTGTACAACAACAACATACGGTCGGCTTGTTTGGGTGCAGCACTCTCTCTTCTCGCTGTGCAAGATGGTCAAGGGTACTTTTCCTTACTTGTCTAAATTTATCTTACTAAAGTTTGACTACCGTCTTCCCCCGAACATAACGCACGCTGAAAACGAATGCATACAGACTATCTTTCCGTCCCGATGCAGTCAAAATGATGGTGCGTTGTGTTCGGGGGAAGACGGACCGTAGTAGAGTACAGAAGAAAATGAAAGGGAACCAATGAACACACTGAAAAAAAACTTAAAAAAAGAGATAGTGCCACACACATGTACGATCATTGTCCCATATTGACTGAACAGTGAACACCAGTTACCCCAAGTGACAAGTCACGACTCCAAGGGTTGGATAACTTCATTTATTTTTATTTTTATTATTATTGTTATTATAATAATAATAATAATAATAATATTATTATTATTATTATTATTTAAAGACTCGATAGGTAAGCAAAGAGAGTAGCAATTCAAAGTTGGCCATCAATACATGTGAGATGATGAATACACGTATGTACTGTGTATCGTCAAACAGAGCTGCCCTGTAAACTGTAGGCAACGAGAGGGAGAAGAGGACAACAAACGAGGGGCTGTGACAAACTGTTTCGTCGGAGTTTCACCGACTCATCGGGAGGCTTTGTATATACAATTATTATGAAATGAAAGCAATCCGACCCATGCAATGAAGCAACTAGCTGCGCAAAAAGCCTAGGAAGGAGCAAAATGAATCGAAAGAAATCCACTATGACCGCAGGGCCAGACCATTACCAAGCTCTTGTTGTCCCCGTATCCTAGCATTTTTTTTTCACCCTCGAGGTATCCGCACAGTTTTCTGTTTTCTCCCTCTGAGAACCAGAGTAGACCAAACATGCAACTTGAACCTCCCTCACCAATCGACAGCACCCGATGTAGTGAAAAAAAAAAAAAAAAAAAAAAAAAAAAAAAACCCTGANAGGAAGGAGCAAAATGAATCGAAAGAAATCCACTATGACCGCAGGGCCAGACCATTACCAAGCTCTTGTTGTCCCCGTATCCTAGCATTTTTTTTACACCCTGGAGGTATCCGCACAGTTTTCTGTTTTCTCCCTCTGAGAAACAGAGTACAACACACATGCAACGTGAATCTCCCTCAACAATCGACAACACGCGATGTAGTGAAAAAAAAAAAAAAAAAAAAAAAAAAAAAACCCTGACAAACAGGGACTCCAACAATGCCAAAACTTGTTCAAAAAAAGATTAGAGGATTCCCTCGATCCGCTCTATTGAGGAAAAAAAAAGGAATTGTTAGGTTCCTAACATTCTGTTTCACATAGGCGCTCAGAAATCCCGCCCTGTACACAAAAAGCATCACCATTTCCATACGCAGCGTTTCTTAGGACGACGGCATCGGCATCTGTTATGTGGCGTTGGAGTTGCACCACCACTAATCTTCTTGTCTTGGTTATAGTTAGACCTGAGACCTAATTGCAAGCCACGCAAGGCCGAACCGAAGAAGACTTTCTATGTTCTATCTAGCGTACACACACGCACACACAATCAGCACTTCCCGACTCCAAATGCAGCAAGCAAGGCAAGCGTGCAGTGTGTGCAGTGTGTGCAGTGTGTGCAGTGTGTGCAGTGTGTGCAGTGTGCACGCATTATTTCATACAAGCGCGCAGTTCATTTGGAGTTCATGACCAACCATACATCTCCAATGCTTCTCCATTCACCATACAACAGCAATCTGCACACTTTTTGCCCCAATCGATTGCTGGAAGGATTATCCCAAAAGATTGCTTGCAAAAATAACTATATACGAGAGAATCTTATCTCAATTCCACCTCACAATTGCAGAGCTCTGACTTGGCTTTCCTCGACAACAAAAAAAATTAGCCATAGCGTTCCCCGCTGAAAAGCGGACAATCCATTCGTGCCATAGAGTAGTTGTGTGTGCTTGCTTGAAACACCAGCCTTCAATTACCCCCACCCCCACCTCCACCTCCACCTCCGCACGCACGCACACAAACCACAACACCTGCAACGAGGAAAAACCACAACAATATAAAAACCCACTTCATCAGTATACCCATTCAGATGGACTCCGATCTGAAATTTGAACACAAATTCTCTTCAGCTTCTCTTTTCCTTCCATCCAGGACGACAACAATCTGTCCCCTATGCGGGCAAATGGCAATGGTCTCCCAAAAATGAAAAACAGAATGACAATGGTACCAAACAAGGCGAGAAGTGCAGCGACAGCACAAGGGGCGGTTCACTTTCATCCCAGCTCACTTTAGCTATTTATTGGTTAGGCGAGAACCACCTCCTCTTTGGTGGCAGGTCATAGGTTCGATTCCTAGAGAGTTGATCTTGGAAGTCTTGTGTGTTAGGAGAGTACAACGGAGAACCGAGTGGATGGGCTTGAGCAGGTTGGGTAGATGAGGGGGAGGGGGAGGGGGAGGGGGAGAAGGGGGGGAGCAGGCGGGCTGGTTCAGCCTAAAAAAAAGAGGCATGGGCACCATGTCCTAGAACACAACCACAGTGGGACGGGAAGTTCGCCCGCAACAGAAACTTGGATACTGTCAATTAAGCAATTAAATATTGCAAATTTTAGGTTCCTTTTTCCCCACAAGTGACAAGAAACTATTGCTCTGAGCAGCCTGCCACCCTCGGGGAACCCCAGCGTTTCATGTCTAGATTACAGCCTTCATTAAAGACTAACCTCTCTGGACAGAAATGAAAGGAAACGACAGCACACAGGTACTGCGGAAAGTGGAAAGCGCAAGAAACTTTTGGTTGGAGAGAGAGAGAGAGAGAGAGAGAGAGAGATGGAATGGCCGCCGTGTGCACATTACCTGTACATTACCAATGCGTAGTCTCACAAACAGGCCATGTTCCACGAGAGGGTACCCGTCGTGCCATGGGAGGTCATTTTCCAGTTTTGGGGAGGCTGGATGCTTGGCAGCAATGAGCTAAATGTGGAAGGACTCTTTGGCTCCATCAATAAATTCCCAGTTGATCTGGGATCTGGCAGATGGCGGTATGATTTGCCGCTTTGCATATCCCAGGCATCAGCTTCCTGTGCCCTTCCGCCGCCGCCTGCACTTCCGTCCCGCTGTTTGTTCTCTTCAGGCATGGCCCATTCACTTTGCGATGAATTGAGACCTTGTTGTTGATGTTCTCTCACACATGCTCCCGAAGAGTCCAGCATTCTCACACCTTTGCGCTTCTCGTTGTTCAAATAATTCAATTGCTCGCTCCCAGTGCTAACACTCTCATCATAGTGAGCTCGGGTGCCTTCAGACAGCGAGGACATTGCTTTGCCCTCCATCATTGGGCATCCTCCACGATCGCCCTCCTCTCGATCGTCTTCTTGTTGCCAACCTGAGGCACGGGGAATCTGGTGTGTGGCGTCAGAGCCACGATTGGGCAATAATGCAGTAGACACAGCTGCCTCCGTAAGGAGCGTAGTGGTCAGTGGAACAACGTAAGTGCCACACTTTGGTAGAGATTGACTGCAGGGCCTTGGCCTTGACTTCTTCCACATCAAGGGCCCCGCTCCAAAGCCAGGAGAGTATCTCCCCTTCAGTTCTTCCAGGCGGCTTCTGCCAGTGTGCATCCTTTCCACCTGAGCAATGCAGAATTTGTCGTCGCCTCCTTCACCACCGACCGGAGATGCCTGTACGAAAGAAGATACCACAGTGGTCTCGCTGCATGTTATAACATCCTCTTCAGACGGTGACATGCTCACCCCCCCTTCTGTCGCACTCTTTTTCGGCGATTTCCTATGCTCGACTTGCACTTTCACTTTAAAAGGAAACAACTGCCCACCTCTCTTGGCACTCTTGCCGCCACAACCTTTCCCCGAACCACTCTTCTCCCTCCTCACAGTTATTTGCTCCGGAAGTTTCGCTGGAACCTTCTCCCCTGCAGTTCGCCAGGCTCCCACCCTTGTCACCCCTGTCACCCTTGTCACTGTGGAGCAGACAGACAGAGTGCTCTCACAACGCGACTTCGGAATCTGTTCCTCCTTGTGTGGCTCCGCATTCCATCTGTCAATTCGTCCATCTGCCCGTTTGTTCAAGAAGGTGTTTTGCTCCCTTGTTGAGGCTTCCCTGCAGCTGGGAACCTCCTCAGCTGCCGGTGCATCAACCACCTCTGGTTCATCTGCAGCTTCGACCGTGTTATTGCGGCCTCGTATGTTCCTATTGCTACCCAGTCTTGGCACAGTGGCGATGGGCGCAACCATGTGATCGAAATTGGTTCGGCTGACGTATGCTGAACTCTCATCAACTTTTGAAAGTTGGTGAAGGCTCCTTTTGCCAACCGGCACCTTTGCGAAGTCAGCGCCTTTCGTTGCTGCGTGAGATAACTTCACGACAAGTCGTGAATCTGTTCCTGGTGAGGACAATGCCACAGAAGAATGCATTCCCGAGGTGCAACCCGTGTCCCAGGATTTCCCTTCAGATGCAGCACTGTTCTGTTGGTCCTGGATCAATCTAGACCCGTTGACGATGGCCTCATAGGAGAGGAGCTTCTTTGGTTTCCGGAAGATTTTCCCTTTTGTTCGCGGCTTTGCAGAGTCCAGTGCAGGATCGCCGACTGCCGGAGCATACATCATTTTCAGGACAAGTCCTGTGTTGTTGCTCTTTACTAGCGGCTTTCTCAAAGGCGAAACCCGAAATCCTGGCAGCCTGTCACAACATGCTGTGTTGTCCTCAAGTGTTTTCGATCTGGCTGTGGTGGGGCCCTCTCCTTGCCCCGGCATCGGGGGAACCGCAATGGGTTCTGCCGCTGCAATGCCATGCACCACAACCTCCTTTTCAAAGAGCTGCCAGAGCTCAATGGTGCGCTTCTGCACGTTCAGTCCACACATTCCACCGCGTAAGAAGTCCGAAAAAGTTTAAGTTAGCTCCACACCGATTGATTGGGTAAGAGAGATCCAAGATATGCAGGGAGAGAGAAGCAGTCACCTCCTCATTACCAAAGAAGAGAGAGATTTCACACACAATCCATATTTTCTTGATTACAGGCTTGCAGGCAGAAATACCATACAAGTAAATGCTCTCTCTTTCGTCCCACGCTTGCCGTCGCTTTCCGCTCCTTTGCCAAATCCCACACACATTTTGCATGAAATACCATGCAAGTAAATCCTCTCTCTTTCGTCCCACACTCGCCTTCGCTTTCCGTTCTTTTGTCAAACCCCACACACATTTTGCATGAAATACCATACAAGTAAATCCTCTCTCTTTCGTCCCACACCTGCCGTCGCTTTCCGCTCCTTTGCCAACTCCCCCACACATTTTGCATGATAGAGCTCACCCCCCTGCACCTTCTCCCCCTTACTCCACAAACCAAGCTGACTGCTCCCCCAGAAACACAGGCTGAGGCAACAGCACACCCTGCACCTTTTCCTACCTTGGCTTTTGGCTTTGCATTCAAGGAAGAAGGTGCAGGGTTGAAGACTTTCAAACACCAATCATGACGCCCAATCCGCTGTAAAAATAAGGAAAAAGGACGAGAAGAAACATATACGACGACCGCTCCTACGGAGCTCACAAAAGAGGGAAAAAAGTGGATGCCATATGCAGCACATGCATCACTATATTCAGTACACAGCATCAAGGCTTATTATTATTGACATTTGGCCAGGATGTTTCAATCCCCCCTCTCCTGCAATCAGACTTGTCTTCACCTCACGTGCAACATGCATACATGCAGCTGGCGATGGCAACAGAAACTTTTGCAGAATCAGCAACAGACTTGAAACGGCGCAGTGCGCCCACACAAAAACTCAGAGATATGGCCTTCAGTCAGGAACACAGCTCAACACAACTTGTTACATCTCCTGGCTATGGCGTCTGAGCGCCAGTCTGAAATTCCCAACCCGAACACTGTATCCACCACCATCAGACACACTCACACGCACGTACGCACACAACACTTGGATCTACCCTGAATGTCTGCACTCACGCTCACACACTATGTTCTAGTTCCTACACATAGGCGGCTATGGCCGCCGTCGTCTTCCTCCTCCTGGCGGCTATGGCCGCTCGCCCTCTTCCACCTTCGAGCTACTTACTGCCCACCGGCGAACTTAACGCACAAGTCACTCGGGCAGCGCTTCCACGTAGTTCCCCAGATAATGAGTGAATGACTGGTCGCTGCCGCTTTATTTATACTGTTTCGTTTGGCGGTCCGGGCCTGCCCGATGTCCCAGGCCCTCAAGATGTACAGTCCCACTCTGGTACTTGCTGCAAAAAACGGACTGGACAGGGACTGCCCTTTCGTTTACCCCTTCGGTGTTTGACTTGGGACTCTTGACCTTTCAGAGATCGACGGACTGCCCTTTCAACGTGTGAGAGGTCAAGTTGACTCTTCGAGGACTGTTCTAGCCACGACCGAGTGACCTTTCAGAGGACTTACAGACGACCCTTAGGACTCCTAAACATCTAACGTATGGATCCAGTCCACACGACCCAAGCTGCACATACAAAACATTCATACACGGTTTTAGGGACAGGTCGCGGGTTCAAAGCACATAGAGTCAACGCCCAACCATACAGTGGGCTAGGGAAGGTATGGGGATCGAGTCCTGGTATCTGCAATATTGCGCAAACTGGGTGAAACCCTTTCACTCCCTTACAAGCCAATCCAAAAGCAACATTCTTCATAAAGTAGGGGTGCGCTCCAGCGTGCACGCAGACACTACCATCTTCACGCGAACAGAACGCCTGGTCATTATTGCTGTATCTAGACTGAAAGTTGTCCCAAATGCCGCTATATTGCCCGGGACTCCGCAGCATCTTGCGACAACCAACAGCTCTACTACCCCTCCCTGATGCCCTTCTCATTCATTTCCCGAACTGTTTATAAAACTTTCATCCTGCTTGACTCATCACGCCGCACCTTCATTGTGTTATGTTACATACCTCTTAGAAATTAGAATCGATGAAACTGGATAAAGGAAAACGCGGGTCTGGCGTGACGCGTCCCGCTGAGACCTTTCCCGCGTGGGCCCGCTGCACCTTGGGCCCAGCGTGGTTTTTGTTAAGGGCCGTTTTTTTTTTGGGTTGGTGTTTGCGCGGCTTCGTGGGCCCGGCGGGGTTTTCTGTTTTATAGGGGGGCGGTTGGTGTCGGCGCGAACGGCCTCTTTTTTCGCTACTGTTTTTTTTCGCGCCGCGCGGGGGGGTTGGTTTTTTGCGCCGCGCCCAGGTAGTGTATGTTTCCATGTTCTAGCCGAAGAATCATTGGATGTTGCTCATCCTATCGATGGTAGTAGCATGGCGCGAGCCGCGAGGTCGGAGAGTTATCGTCTCTCTCTCTCTCTCTCTCTCTCTCTCTCTCTCTCTCTCTCTCTCTCT